TCCTGGAAGCCTGGAGGCTGAGGGGGATATGATAGAAGTTTATAAAATCACAAAGACCGTGAATTAAATAACACATAATGTTTAAAAGCAGATGCTCTGGTGCCGGATTGTCTGGGTTCCAATGTTGTCTCTGCTGCTTTCCAGCTGTGTGACTTGGGGCAGATTACTTAATCCGTCTGCATTTCTGTTTCCTCATCTTTGAATTAAGACCAAAAAATAAAGTACCTACTTATGGCATCAAAGCGGATGGGAAGACTGAAATGAGTTAATACACTGCGTGGCTTTCCACAGCGCTTGGCACCAAGCAAAACACTGACAAATGCTATCTGTGGTCACTTTTTCCCCCCAAGTGCTGAATCTTTAGAATCAATTCAGTCAATGTTTAATTGTAAAGGAAAGAAGGCACATTACGGCACACTTGGTCATCTAAAGGGAACTTGTAATATCCAGAAGCAGTGGGTCTTAACCTACTAGGAGATGCTGAGAAGGTTAGATTAGTTATTTCCTGCTAGACCTGAAACGAGTCCTAAGGGGGCACAGGAATGCTTGGGGTGCACGTTTACTTATCTTTGCACCCCGCAACATACACAACACAGTCTGATGCAGCCTCCTGGGGCTGAGTGAGTGTGGGTCTGCAGGCGTTTCCTAATGAGAAAATGATTGCTCAGCTTGGCAAAGGGGAAAGTGTCAAGGCTTTGATGTAGCAACACGTAATAACAATAATAGACCATCCACTGCAAAGCAGAGCATTGCTGGAGACCTAGGGCCAGAGAGCGCACTTTTGTTTGTTGTTTCCATAAGGAAAGAAGTTGGTGTAAGGAGCCACACACTTGGGCCTAGCCACAATTCTCTTTTGACAAAAGCGTTTGTGAGGCCGTAAATGGGGGTGGGGGTTGGGGGGAGTTGAGTGGAGGGGAAGGAAAAACTAACTGCCTGGAAAGGGGATCTCTCACTGCAGCTGAGACAGAGAGCTGCTTAATTCCCCCATGCCAACTGGTCAGTCATCTCCGCTACTGCCAGGCTGGATTTTGAAATGAGGGCTGAGGTCAAGTCTTGAGCTCAAGCATGGTATTGACCATGCCCTCTCCATTCTCTGGGCCTCAGATTGGTTTCAGGTAAAAGGATGGACCAGGTTTAAAAAAAAATAGAACAAATAAAACAACCAGGATGTTTTCTTCAAATGAAATCTTACTTCGGAGTTTCAGGAATAAACTATACACACCTCAAGTGTGTGTGGCACCGGGGGTGGGGCTCAGGGCTCCATCAGCCACTGCTGCTCCCTCTTCAATCACCCCTACTTGCATTGCATTCCCCTCCTCTGGCTCATCCTAACACAGTTTGAAAACCACTGGCCTAGATAAACTCTGAAGTCCCCTCTGGGTCTAACATTCTGTGGTTTTTGTGCCTTTGGCACCAAAGTGACCTCAAATCAAACGAGTAATTATAGGCTCTCGAAGAGCACTGTCCAGTGGAAATATGTAAACTGCCTAAGTTACGGAAAATTTTCTAACATAGTCTAAGAATAAATAAAAAGAAATAGGTAAAATTAATTTCATTCACATATTTTATTTCATCCAACATACCGAAAGTATAAATAATTCAATAGGCAATCGATACAAAAGTATCTAAGATAGCTTACATTTTTATATAAAGTTTTCAAAACCCAGCGTGTGTTTTAAACTTCCAGCACATTCCAATTCAGATCTGCCACATGTCAAGTATTCAGTCATCACAGGTAAGGGGCTACCACACCGCAACACACACGCACAGAACCTTAAATGCCTCAGAGCCTTTTCCTGAGTCACAAGTGCCCCCTACCCATGAATTGAAAGGAAAAGACCTGCAGGCCTCCTGCATTCAGACTCATGACAGTGAGACACGTGGATGGTCCTGTCTGTTTCCATCAACCCACAAGCACTGCAGGGGCCCCATCTTTCAGAGGATCCTTTTCATCAGCCTCTCAAGGTCTGGAGGTGTCACAGGATGTCTCAACAGTCCGGCTTCAGTGACCTCGACTGCTCGATCCCTCACTTTTCTATCCCTCAGTTCACTCCCCACTTCTTGCTGCTTTAATATCACTTTATCCTGCAATTTTTTATTTCTAAATGTTCTCTAAGCCTTTCTCTGCCTTACTTCCAGTACCCCCAGGAATCCACTTTGACCCTGAGTATTATTCCCAAAATCTGGCTCTTACCTAGTCCCTACCCTCTGCCATTACCTCACACATTTAACCATTTGGGTGCACACACAGTCATTTAATATGTTTGTTCAGGCTTAATTATATTATGTCTCTCATGTTGGCTTAAGATATCTTCACCTTTTTGCTTTAACACACAGTGCTTTGCACTGAAAGGAACAATCAGTATTTTTCTTGTGCTGTTTGTTTGTAGGAACAAAGAAATGGCTCGGTACAATTACGTTAGGACTCTCAAGTACAGTAAAGAGGCATCACTGTTTCTTTGGGACTGAAACTGAACATTAAGGCTTTGCTGGTTATTTGTATCCAGATCAGTTTCATGATCATTGGCTGGCTGATAGTGCTAATTTTAATCTAAGGGTAGTACTTCAGATAGTATTTCCACATTTGTGACTCAGAAAAATGGAACAAAATCACCCCTTTTTGTACAAAAGAAGCCTAGAAGAGTAGTGATTAAAAAATAATCCATCTGTAACCTGTTTCTTTTACCACTATAATTTGAATTTAAACTATACATTTAGATATGCTTAATTTAAAAAATAATTACATCTTTGCATATGTTAATAACATGTTTATTCCATGTTTCAGTCTTGATAAATGATGAGGGATTTTGCCATCTTTCCCAATTTTTCAGCCTGGATGGCTTAGATTTTTAGTCAATTAATTATAATAATCCACTAGTTTGAAACTATAATAAAATAATCATCTCATTAAATGAGTTACAATTCTTTTTGTAGTTAGTTTCCTCTTTTGGGCCTTGTAGAGAAGGCTGTTAACTATTCTGCAATTGTATAAATTCTTACTTTGTTTGGGCTTAGATACTGAGGCATTAGCAATGAGTTCATAATTTATAGATCTTCAGTACCTTTAAATACAGGCACCCCATTTCCTGAAGCAAAGACACTGCTTCCTTTACCGAATGCTTTTTATGAGCAGAGAATCCTTTCTTCCCCCACCCTGAGTTCTTGCACCAGAACTTTTTACTTTTTCTCCTGAGCTGGGATATTACTATTTTACAGCATGAATACATAAAGTCAGTGCCTTTGGATGAGCAGATACAACAGATGAGGGTCAGAATCAAGACATATCCAGAGCTCTCCAACCTCGAGTCAGTGAATGTTTCTCAATAATTATCTATGGTTAGGAAAAGGCAAGCTATTAAAGCTCCAGGGTTGACCCTCTGGGAAGTTTTTTTTTTTTTCTGATTTCTGTGGAAGTTACCAGAACCCACCTTTCCTGGCCAGGACGTGCTGATCCCCAAAGGTGTAAGGTCCAAATGATGTGCCCTAACCACTAATTAGTTATCATTAAGGGGTAGTGTGTGTGTGTGTGTTGATGTGTGAGTGGAGCTACAAAACTCCTTTGCTGTTAAAGATGATTGTATGCATTTATTTCTATTTGAAACACTGTTGTGAAACCTGGGCTGTGTATGTATGTATGTATGTATGTATATATATGTGTGTGTGTATATATATATATATATAAAATATATATATATATATGTGTGTGTGTGTGTGTGTGTGTGTGTGTGTGTGTGTGTGTGTAGTAACTAACGAAGTCTCTCACTCTTAGTTACGATAAGTCGTCGGTCGGTCCGGTACCGGACCGTAACCGGTTAAGGTTGACTATCT